CAGAAAATTTGGGAAAATGATTAATTTATAACATACCAAACAAAATCCGAACCATTTTATGACTTATTTCTTTTTCCTTGTTGGCCATATTGCTGACAAAGATGTATATAATCATGCGATAATTTTAACCTACAGGACAGAGGACTTATTGGGCAAAAACTCAATCCAGTCCCCTACCCAAAATCACAAATTGGTTAATATCAGAAAAACAGAGGATTTATACAAAACAACACTATTTTACGACTTTCCTCTTAACATCAGAGTCCAAATGCAATTTCAGGGCCACCAACCCTGCTCTGAATTGTGACCCCCTGTGCTTGAAACGAGCTGCAGATTCTCTTAATATTCATCAGCAGAGCTGCAACAGCTTGGTCACAGTGCCATCCTTGCCCTAGGGGTAGGATCATTGCAGGTGACTTTTCATCCAACATGGCAGCGGCCATCTCTGGTCTGGGAAGATTAGTGAAAGTGTCATTGATGATTGATGCAGTCTTGGTAAACTCCAAAGCCACGCAATACCCCAGAAAATTTAATTGCATCATTGTATCATTGATCAATCAGGTCAGATTAGCCTTATGTACACGAGAAATGAGTGAATGACTGTAATGTGTTCAAGGTAGCATGCGTGCGTGCTTCAACCTCTGTAAATTTCCGATAATCAAACGTTGCATATTCAAAATTTCTCTTTTTAAATGGTGTGCTGCCTTGACATCTTGTGATTATATAGTAATATTAATATTGATTACGAAAAGTTAAATATTATCAATGAAAATCTTGTAATTACCCAGCAAGATCTGCTCCGCGTTTTGATTTCCAATTAAAATATTTATAAGCTAAAATAAAAGACACCTCATACATATCAATACAAATAAAAAATAGCACCTCTGGTTATTTATTAACACGTATTCTTTAGGAGACCCAAACCAAACCAAACAACAACACTCATGTTTTGTCACCTTGAATTCGTGTCTGTCCTACCAAAAAAAAAAAACCAATAGGATAAATAATTAATGTTAGGGTTGTGTTGGTCCAGTCCGGTTTGGTCTCAGTCCCAAAAGACTGGTTTTTAGATGCGGTCTTTGGGACTGGTTAAAGTCTGGTCTTTGGGACTGGTTAAAGATAGGTCTTTGGGATTGTTTAAAGGATTTTGATGTGAATCACATATTGCAAAGTAGCTTTTTGGTTGATCTTGATTATCTTACATTTTA